CGCCCACTTGTTGACGACGTCGGTGTAGACGTCGTAGAGCGCGTCGATCTCCTCCGGTGCGCTGCTGGGCTCGGCGTGCAGAGGCACCATCACGAAATCCTTCACCTCTGCCGGACAGGCGGCCGTCAGCCCCCGGCTTGGGTACAGCACCCGGGAAGGGAGCGGGAACCCCGGGGGACCACCCCGGGCCAAGCCCCGGATACCGGCCAGGATAAGCTCCCGAAGGGAAGGGGTGTGTTGGCTTTTTGTGGTCTGCCTGTCCTCCAGGACGGAATTTCCAGCAGGGAGCTGTGTCCCTCCATGTGTGGTTTGGGGTTTGCTGCTTGTTTCCCATCAGTTTTTCCAAGCCACTGAGGTTTTGGGAAGGAGATGGAGGTGGGAAGAGAGATGGGAGAGTGTGTGTGCCCTGGGGAGCTTCTCGGGAGGTGGAGGTGAACAGCACGGGTTGGGGATGGCGCAAGGGGGAGATGGGAAGCAACGGGAGATGGCACCTGATGGGAGATGGCACCTGATGGGGGATGGCGCCTGATGGGGGATGGCACGTGATGGAAGATGGTTCATGATGGGAGATGGCACGCAACTGGGGGAAGCAGATGGTGGGATATGGCACAAGATGGGAGGGAGCCGCTGGGCACCTGATGGGAGATGGAACCTGATGGGGGATGGCACCTGATGGGAGATGGAACCTGATGGGGGATGGCACCTGATGGGAGATGGAACCTGGTGGGGGATGGCACCTGATGGGAGATGGCACCTGATGGGGGATGGCACCTGATGGGAGATGGAACCTGATGGGGGATGGCACCTGATGGGGGATGGCACCTGATGGGGGATGGCACGTGATGGAAGATGGTTCATGATGGGAGATGGCACGCAACTGGGGGAAGCAGATGGTGGGATATGGCACAAGATGGGAGGTAGCCGCTGATGGGATGTGGGACACAGTGGGAAACAGCTGGAGATGTGAGATGGCACACGACTGGAGAGAGTGCACGGTGCGAGATGGCGGGCAATGGGAGGAGAAGGGAGATGGCAGGAGGTGGCACATGGTGTGAAAGAGTAGGCAGTGCTGGCCATGCTGGGCAGGTACCTGGGACCCCTGGGCAGCCACGGGTGGGAGAAGGCCCCACAGCAGTGAAAGACCCCGGTGAAGCCCCTGAGCAGGGCTCCAGGGTGCAACCCCCCCGCCTGGCAGGCACCACTCAGGGCTCAGCTCTGCACGCAGGGGACCCCATGCCAGGTCTGGGCAGCCCCCAACGCCGACTGTGCTCACGCGTGGTGGGCGAGGAGAACCTCACAATGAAGGGCTCCCTGCTGAAGGTATCATTCCCGCAGGGCTCGCAGCCGTCGTCGTAGTAGTAGCTTCCCACCACAGAGACTACGTCCGATCTGAGGGAGGAGAGCGGGGCAGCCCCCAGCACCGCTCCTGCCACAGCCAGGGCCCCCAAAGGTACCCACTGCCCTTTGGGGACTGCTGGGGAGGACAGCGGGTGACACGAGGGACGCCGGACCCTGGCGGCATCCCTTACCTGTAGACGAAGAGGTATTGCTCCTTGTACCTGTTCCGACCCAGGGGCATGCTGACCAAAAAGCTGTATGGGTGCGAGGATGCCCTAGGAGCGAGAGCGGAGAGGGTGAGAGGCGGCTCCTGATGCCCCCCCAGCACCCATCGGGCTCTGGGGATCTGCCCCCGCATCTCATCCGCAGGTGACCCTGCGCCATCAGGGGCACCTGTTGAGCTGGTCCATGAGCTTGTTCACGGCACTCAGGTCACTGTCCCGGACCTCCTGCACCACCGTGATGTCGTACCCCGACAGGATCTGGGGGGACAAGCTCAGAGTTGCTTGACCCTGGCTGGGAGCTGCTTGTGGGGGTGGCTGGGGCTCGTGGGGGTGGCTGGGCTGGGCTGTGAAGGCTCCCAGGCTGGCAATGGAGGGGCAGCAGCGGCCCCAGAGCCAGGGAGGGAGCTCCTCTGCTGGTGTCCTCTGGCTTGGAAAAGCCCCCTGACACCCATCTGTCTGCCACCCCCCATCCCAGCAGCCCCTCTCACAGGCTGCTCTGAGCGAGGAGCCCCGGCAGCACCAAGCATCACCCATCCTTGGCTGGGGACCGGCAAGAGCGGAGATGGCCCAAGGTTGGAGATGGTGATGGGGAAGAGCAGATGGGTGGATGGATGGAGGTGTAGATGGGTGGAGTCATGGATGGATGGATGGATGTGTGGATGGAGGCACGTATGAATGGAGGGAGGGAAGAAGGAAGGGAGGGACGGACAGATGGATGAGGAGGTGTGGACAGGTGGATTGATGAGTGAGTGGATGCACAGATGGACACACAGATGGATGGAAGCCTGCAGAAAGCTGGTGTCCAACTGCCCCAAGCTGGCTGCATCCTAGAGACCAGAGAGTGGCCAGGACTTCTCCTCTCCCCCCAGCACTCACAGAGACGATGATATCTGCGATAGTCTGGTTGGACATCTTGCTGTCCCCAAACACCTTGATGTTGAAGGCGCTGATCTTCAGTGTGGTGGCCACATGAAGCAGGAGAGCTGCAACCAGCAGTGACAGCACCAGCTTCGAGGATGCCATCCTGCGTGCAGAGGAGCAGGGATGGGCTCAGCCCCGCTGACTGGGAGGGGAATTTGGCATAGACGACAAGGGTAGCCAGGGTATTCCCACTGGCTGTACTGGTTTCACTGGGAGGCGTCCGTTTTCCAGTGAACCACCAGGGTCCAGGGATGGCGCACCCTCTTCCAGCCATCTGGCTCCTGCCCCACGCGGGGCCTCATCCTGCCCGTCCCTCCTGGAGGGAGGCCAGACCGCCCGCGAGGCTGGAGCGGATAATTCACTGGCAAAGGAGCAAATGCCATTTCATGGTGACGCAGAGCAGTCACTTCCTCATCCACCGTGCTCAGCCCGGACACCTCTCCCAGCCCGGGGTGGGTGGCAGTGGCTGGGGACACCGAGGTCCCTTGGCTTGTGCCTCTCTCACCCCTCCCTCCTTGCCAAAGACCCAAAAGACCCTAGAGCAGCTATGCTGGGACAGAGCAAGGGATGGATCCCCCCCGGAACACCCCTCTCCACCTCCTTCCCTGCCTGGAGCATCCTCACCTGGGGTATCCTGCCCCCCCTGCCCCC